TTGTCGTTTTTTTAATTTTTTTTTTTTTACTCCGAAGTTTTTTTTCATTTTGATTTATCGCCTTCGAAAAATAGGACCCCCTCTGGTACGGTATTTATTATATTATTATGCACTGAGGGTTACGCGTAACGGCCCATAGCTTGGGACTCTACACTGTGGGTGAACCTCCTTGTGTTGCGGCGACGGCTTCTATACCATTTTGTACTGGCTCTTATTAATTATCATTATCGTTATTATTATTAGGTACCCGTCCCGTGGTAAACAAAACGACAGTTTTCCGGTAAAACGGTCCACGTGGAATCCAACAGGCGTATAGTATATATTATTAGATACCGATACGTGTTATTATGATATATAAATTTGCTACAATACACCGTGTATAGTGATATCAAAGTACACCAAGCTTTAAATTTGTATACAATTATGTTATGGTTAAAAAGGATCAGATCAATGCACACCTAACCTGACCTAACCGCTACCGACTACGAATCGTAATACTCGACCCAACTATAATTAATAGTATTTTAATAATTATTAAGAACTGTTCAAGAGAGAGAGAGAGAGCTTGTATGTTTTAAATATTAATATTATTAAAAATTAAAACTCGTTTTGTATTCAATTCGGTGTAATATTAATGAAAACTACAAAACACTTTCATATTATTATTATCTAAATATACCTACCAAAGCCGTGCGTGTTGTAAAAAAATAATTATTACAAGACTGAACATTGATGTGATAGTAGTAAGTCTCTTATACGAGAAGAAGAAAGTTAAGTAGTTATCAATTCAAACATGTTCCAACTAATTTGTCTGCTAAAATAATTATAATTTGTACGAAATCTTTGAGAAAATTGATGCAAGCCACTCACGTGACATGGTATAGAAATTTGATTAGATGTAAATTAAATTATTTTTCAATAATCGCCCAGCCAAGTTCATAGCGAGTTTTGTCAGCTATTTATTTGTAACAATTAATGTGAATTGTTTTAAAATTGATAAATTTGACCTCTTTGTGCGACAATAATATTATAATCTACACAAAATAAAAAAACCAACCGTAATTTCGTCATTTTACTGTGGCCAGTTTAGCGTCTAACAGTTTCTAAATTAACGATAGACCATACACTATACTATTAACATTTCGTGGATAATTTAATTTATTGTCCGTTAGCTGGTTTGGGATGCGCAACATAAATAATTATTGTCCGGGACAACTGAATCACGATACAAACAATGTAGGTCAACCGGTTGCCAAATTTGAATGTCAGCAGGCCAAAGTCGGCGGCGGTGACGTTCACCCGGCAATATTTTATCGCAAATTTGACCAAGTCCCGGAGTAGCTATTTAAAAAATACCTAATTGTCGTTAACCTATAGAGTAAAGAACATATTTTCAACATGTTGCTGCCAGCCACATAAGGTACGCCGCCATCGCCTGTGCAATCCACCGATTGTATAAGGTGTTGATAAAATATATATATAAATATATATTGTAAAATCAAATATTAAAAATGCTCGAAAAAAGCTTCTTTTCAACAAAAAAAAAAAATGGTATACAGACGTTTTTAGAATAATTATACTGGTCATAGTACACTGTATATAATATACTATGCCTAATAATATTATTACACTTACCATTATCGATATTTATTATGTTTTTAAATAATTTACAAAAAAAACCAATCGGTTTAATTGTATCAATTTCTAAACTATTTATCGTTGCAGGGTATTCGTGGTGGCCGGAGCACGACCACTGTGCTGTGCATACTTAATTATTAATCAAAATATGATAAATCGACATTTATTAAAACACACCACCGGAGGCTAGCGTACAACAGCATTATGGCCTAAACGTACCTATAGCATTAAAGTATGTACTTTCGATGAAACTGAAAGTTAAAAATCGAATTAATAATTAACGAACTGTTTTTATTCGTCGTCCATGAACGTTGTCGTTTCTATATTGTCTGTCACTCAAAGAGCTAAACTACAAGAAATCGAAAATCAATTAATCATTTAGGTATTTTGTTGTTTTATACTTGTAGGCACGCGTTGTCAAATCGTTATTAGAAAGAAAATGAATACAAACATATATTGGAGAAAACATTATAAAAAAGAAACAATGAACAAGACTTTAAAATAATATCAATATTATATTTAGTCGAAAGTGTAAAAAACAAAACGCAATAAAGTCAATACGTTTTTTCTGATAATTTGCGAGGCCAGACATTAGCAATTTTTGTTTAAATAAAAAAAAATTATCTGTTAATAATGTAGGTATTATCTGAAAAACTCTTTTATTTTACGTACCAAATAATTTATTATTTAGAACTTCAAATGATAATACATTTTTGTCATATATTTATATATTTATATATATATATATAATATATTATATTATATTATGTACATAATTTGTAAAGCATAATGGTATAGTTATATTTTTACAGCAAAAAAAAGCGTAATTTTATGTTTAGTAAATGGTTATTTATTCGGATTTTTATTAAAATTTTTTTTAAATTTTGATTATTGTTTTAAATTATATTTATATAAAAAAAGCCTTTGGGACTAAAAATGCGTTTATGTAAATACTTTTGTGTTTTTAATAATTATTTTAATGTAAAATTACCGTGTTTAACTGTAATGACTAATGATATTGACCAATCGACACAGTTGGTGTTGTATTAAGTTTTAAAAAAAATGATTTCACTTTAACAGTGTTCATTTTTCAGTATCATACAAAATGTACACGCACACACGGTATACAGCCTCTAAATGTGAAACTTTCATTCAAATTGTTGTCAATCGCATTTATTTTTATTTTTATACCTACTAGTTAATGTATAAAGTGCATTTGAAATTACATTTTATCGTTCTATTAAATGCTTTACCACCTTTATATCATCCCGTTTTCAGTCATTTTTACGGATATCTTTCATTTTTTTTTTATAGCTTGTACTTAGATGTTTGTATGCTAGTTTATTATGATTCCTAGTTTTATGATTTCATTTTATACGACAACATTCTCATACCTAACTGATATTAAAGAATTTTAACCTTAGTTTGTTGAAAGCCTCTAATGTTTTTTTTTTTTTTTAACTGTGGTTTTAATTTTTTATTTAAAAGCCTTATGTTATTAGTTGTTGGCATTATACCAAATTGTTTATCTTAAGAATTTATATTTTAAGGAATTTTAAAACCTACTTAACCGCACGTTAGGCTTATGTATGGCGAGCAAGGCTTATAATAATATGTTCGATTCCGTGCTAATTGAGATGGCAGTTATTTGTGTTCACATAATGCGAGTTGGTCGTAAAGGCTGTGCTAAAGCGAAACCAGAAATTGGGCCACAACCGGTCACTGATCTACTATTTATTAATTTAGGATATGTTTAACAAGCATGAGCTGCCGTACATTTTTATTGAAGACAAACCAGATAAAAAAATTCCTAATAATCTCTAAACCACATTTTTAAACGTGTTTTTTAATTTACTGACATACAATTAAAAAAATCGTGTATGAATGAATGAATATATCTTTAAACAAAATCATTATAGTAGGAACTCAAAAGATAGCAGATTAGATTTAGTATGTGGAAATAATATAAGAACCAATTTATTTTTAATGCGAGATATCTCTGGTTGAAAATAAATGGTTTTATCACCAGGTATAAAATCCTAGATGTCACAATATATCAGGCTTGAGTATTTTCTCTATTCTAGTAGTTTTTATTATATTTAAAAGTCTAAGGGACCAAAGCCTTTATAGAACGCCATTTGTTTTTAGAAAACTAAAGAACAAAACGGTAATTATTGTAAACAACAATAGTCCATAACAAAGCCAGCGTTTACCAAAAACGTAGCATGTTGCAATAGGTCAAACGGATATAGTTTAAGATGTCATCCGAGCCAAAGTAATTAACGACCGGGATATTGTGTAGGCTGACGTCATATATATATATATAATAAAAATCATAGAAGTTAAAACGCGCCGAGTCATTAGGACAATTTAAATTTATCAGTCCGAAAGCGACAGTGTTAGCACTATCTCAATCAAAATAATTACACAAGGATCGTTTCTACGTAGGTACAACCCGCATTGATCGACAATATCCAAATTACACGTTTGAAACGTTTGGGTACTGGGGAAGTAGGGATAGTGCTGGTACTGGGATAGTACTGGTTGTATTCAAAACATTCAAACTAGAACTGAAAAATAAATTCATTAATTTAAGAGGTCATATTCTCATGAATTGTTTTAGGCCAAATATTATAAAAACACTAAAATATTAGCCAGAAACTTAATATGTTTACTAGTCACCTTAGATAATAGCCTGTTAATATACTATTCCATTATCTATAACTCCACCACTACTTTAAATTTAATCGGTACTTCAATGTGACTTGAAAATGCTCTTTCGCGGTTGCAGAGTCGGCTAAAAAATATTTTTTTTAAATATTTTTAATTAACGAATAAGTTGAATTTTTACTAAAAAATTGTAAAAGTTCAAGATTCTATTATGGTGTAATTAACCAATCGGTTGTTTTTAAAGTAATTCGCGTGTTAATTGACGTAAATAGTAGTATTGCGATGTATACAATTTTTGATCTAGAATATTCTTTTGGTCTTATATAAAAAAGAGATCAGATGATATCTTATTCACTCACTTTTTCACTTATGTTCGTGTAAGCTAACTGTGTATAACAAGTCTTTATTTATACTTTATTGTATTAGTCGTAGTGAAAAAATACTTCATCATTGTTACTTTACAACTTGTGTTGATTATTATTTTGCTTAAAATCCACTCAACACTCAAACTCCAGCAATATTGATTTTATATTTAACATACGACGTTGAACACATTTACTTATATTATTATAATATATATTTAAATAAGTTAAAGAATTATGGCAAAAATATGATTATTAATAATATTAATAAAGTATTTTTTTTTATTTGATTTTCTAAATTATTTTAAATGATAATTGTCACGTGTTGTTTGAGCTTTTCGCCGTCCTAGATCGCCCGACAACCCCACGGCCGCGTCTTGCTGGCACACCACTTGTTGCGTGTTCCCGCTTCTCGCCGTCTAAAGGCACCAGGGAAAAAGGTAATGTTCATTGTTGCGCTTTCAAGGTCGTTTAATAATATGCTTCGTCATCTTGTCTTAGAATAGGAACATCAGCTACGGCCTCTGTATCTTTTATGCTGTCTCGTCAAATACATATGAGAGCTCAGGCCTCTGTAACAATAATTTCCGGCCTTAGTCACGTGATCGAGAGCCGTCGGTGGTCCCGAGGTATGTTCACGACTCCGGCTTATTTTAGATGTGTAGGCTGAGACGGGACCGCCGTCTCTCTCTCAATAGTCGTTGACTATATAGAAGAGTGCTTAGACATCTAAAGGCGTAGCAGCGAAAACACCTTTGGACTGCTGATGATTTTCAATCACATGACTAAGTCGATCAGTAAAAAATTTGAGTATAATAAATTGATGGAAGGATACGAAAAAGAGAAAAATTCATAAGGGTGCGAAAGATGAGAAGATAGTAATTGTTGCAGAAATGGTTATCAACGATGATTTTCGAACACATGACTAAGTCGATCAGTAATAATTTTTAGATGAAAAATTGATGGGAGGATATGAAAAAGAGAACACTTCATAAGGGTGAAAAAGATGTGGAAATAGTAATTAATTAATTATTAAATATAAATTAATAAAACTAACGTGTGCTAAGGACCGACCTGTTATCAACGGAATATGGTTCATTGTTGCGCTTTTAATGTCGTTTAATAATATGCTTCGTCATCTTGTCTTAGAATAGGAACATCAGCTACGGCCTCTGTATCTTTTATGTTGTCACGTCAAATACATATGAGAGCTCAGGCCTTTGTAACAATAGATTTTTTATTGGCTCTGCTTATACATAATTTACTATGAAAATATATATTTGTTGTGTAAGATATATGCAAAATCTTATTTTATAATAATGAATTAATAATTTCCAATTTTTATTATGTTAACGCGCTGTTGATATGGCCTTTGTACACGTTGTGTCTCGTGGTTGAGGGAGTTTTTCGTTTAATTATTGTTTATTTATTTGTTTATTTATTCATCACAAGCTGTCCCGACCCGTTGTTGCCCGAGATTTAGTTAGCCAGGGCTGATTAAAATAATTACAAATAAGATAAAAAAGTCAGTACTCCATGCTGTATATTGTAAATCTTTAGCATACCCCACGGTTTTTTTTTTTGAATCTACATATAGACATTAAATTATGTTGATTATACTTCGGTAATAGGGGGACTATTACCGAAGTACCCAGTTCTAGTTCTAGATCCCGTTAAAACAGTTAAAAGCTTGACCAGAATCATGGTATAATGAATCGACCTGTTCCTTTAATCATCACTTACCATTCGCTCGAGAACCGTGGTTACTATGGTTACAAACAAAGTTTTTATTTTGAGTTAGCAACGAAAAATGTCGTATTTAAAATAAAAAAATTGTGTTTAAGGCCACCCTTAGGGGCCTTGTACACAATATTAAAAATTAATAATATAACAACTCGTGGACCATAATAAAGTTGATGAATCATGAAAGAAGCCAAAGTTACTAATTTTATTGCATAAATTAAGCATGCGATTCACCGGCGAGTTGCAAGTGGTACATTACATTTTAAAGAACTAATTTTAGTTCTCAAACCTCTATTATTTTGATAAAAACCAACAAAAACATTTTTGACAGATATCATTACGTTTTTACAGTTTTTTCACGACATTTATTATAATTTTTACAATATAAACGGAAATAATTACTATAAGGTTTAACGAACAAAGATAATTTTAGTTTTTTTGGAACGCAATTTATATATTTAATAATTAAATTTGTAATTTGATAATATTTTGATAGTTTTTCGTCAGATCAGAATTTATCCAAACGTTTTTTCCAATTTCGAATGAACGCAATTTAGATTTAGATTTAAAAATAGATCTAAAATTAAAAAGTTATCCACTCTTTAGCAATTTTTAATGTATGGTTAACCTCATCAGGCGATTGTTTTATTAAAAATAATAGCATTTTTACTTTTCATAAACCAATGTTTAGCTTCTAAAATCAACTGGTCTGATGAAAAATGTATAACTGACTTATTAGATTCTAAAATTGAAACTTTATCACGAAGACTATTTACTTCAGATTTAAGCTTATCATTTTCATTTATTAGGCTATTTATTGAGATCAACATACCCTCTAAAGTATTATTAAGAACCATAATTTTGATTCGTATCTGGAATGTTTATCATTTATAGATAAAAATGTTCATCTTAGGATGTCTCCATTTGTTTAAGTTTTGTCATCACATGTGTGAGAATGAACTCACTATTGGAACGAGAGAACGAACACAAAGTTGTAGTCCTTTTCAAAGGAGTGTCAACAGTCAACTTTGGTATTATTTGGCATTTTTAAGATTTTTCACTTCGGTTTACTAAAAACTATTTCATCATTGGGAAACTTTATTAAACCTTATTCCTAAAACAGTTTACACCCAAGGGCTACGGCTACCCGTTTTGTTGTGAGTTTTGATTGAATCGTGTTAGCCACGGTTATAAAAGTTCTTTATTATCGCGTTCGAAGCCGCATAAAAATGGAATGTCATCTAAAAGAAAAAATAACAGTATTTTTTTAAACAAAAAACACAGCTGATCCTGGCAATCCACAACCTCATACTCAGCCCGCAACGGTAAGTATAAAATAATTATAAGGTACAAATTATAACGCTAGTATACATTTTACGCAGTTTACAGTTATTTTTACACTTTTAAATAATTGCCAATTTATAATTATTAACAATAATTATTACATGTTACATAGTTTGTATTTGACATCATAAAATCAAATATAAATAGTATAACTTATAATCAATTATGAGTAATTTACAATAAATTCTAATATAAAATTTATTAATATTCTAAAATATTTGTTTTTCAGCAATAGTGGCTGTAAATTGGTCCACAACTTCCTTAACAACGTTCGCCTTTATCTTGCCCGACATGATTTCCTCTCTTATAAGCTCCTTAATTTCAGCCGTTTTGCTTATAAACTGCCTCGTATTTCCTTTGTTTAGCAGCGAATTATTATTGGAGTCTCGTTCTTTGGCCTTAGAAGACAACCAATACAGACCCTTCATGATCTCATTATAGCGTTCTGTTATCATGACTGACATCGATTTCATCTTTTTACCTAACCTTACTCACATCACTAATTACTTAAACGTCGACCGACATTTTATAACTTCTATTTAAATCGATCGATAAAAATTGCCAATAAGTCCCGTTTCTTTGGCTCTACAGCCTAAAACCTTGACTTATAGGTCGCAGACCCTTCCCGAACGATTCCGGGTGAGAAAAGGACGGAAAACCCTTTCCTTCCCTCAAAACCTGTGAAAACCTATCTTTTTACCTACAGTTGTTATGGTAAATAACAACCGGAAAAAATCTCAATTTGCTATTAGAAAAATTAAAAAAAGGAAGCTTTCCCTTATTACACGGCCGCTATAACAGACTGAGGGTCGCGCGACCCCTCGTTGCAATCGCGAGAACATCCTCTATCTATTAATGCAAAGCGCGCGCAGAAAAAGTAACGTTAAGTGTCACAAAACAAATGTGTTACACTAACCTCTTAATATTGCGTCTTCCACTTCTTCCCGGGCTTCTAAGCTCACGTACCGGTCCACGGAGGTCCTCTGCAACCAGCCGATGAGGTTCTGAGTGGCTCTGAATGGATTTTGATTTTCCTGTAAAATCGCTATATTGGACTCTTTCGGTTAATTCCCGACGCGAGCACTTCAAATGAAAAAAACCTATAAAGTAGTGTCCAAAACGGTGATCTCGCAGGCCTCGCCTTCAGTCAAATACTAAATGAAAACACTTGCAGGCGTAAGTTCTCGTAGCTTAATGTCAATCACAATGATGTCAACGGCCGGCCTTTGTGTCTGTGGTCAGTGTCATGCTGACCCAATCGTCGATAAGCTTTCTTCGGAGCACGGCTGCCGGGGTATTTCCTTAGAAAACAACCTCTGAAAATGACACCACGTCTCATCAGCGATTTCAAATAAGTATAAAAAATAACTTTGAAAATCAAATAGTCTTATTAGTATTACCTTGACATATTCCCCATCGAGGATGACAGCGGTTTAGTCACGTGGTCGATTCTAAATAAGAGGTCTCGTCTGTTTATTGATAATTCGTATCGGTAACTGGTCATATGTTTAAGCCAGCATTATTAGAATTAACGCATTCATATTATTAGTATCGTTATAAATGCTGATTTTGCATATAATTTAGTTGAAATCCGCTTAGTGATACAAGAAAAAGTTTAACGTTACATAATTTCTTCCTTATAAGTTGTACCTAATATTAGTCTTGTACTAAACTTTGGGTTTTAAAACATACTTATTTCCCGATAATACGTCTTGGAAACTTTTCACATTCATTCTTTAATTTTTTGTAAAATATGTAGTCTTCCGAAGCGTAATGTACTTGAGTATTTGCCAGTTGTCACTCTTGACGTGGTACATATTCAGTAATATACTTACAATTATTAGTACAGTCAGTCGCACACATACTGTACTAACAACCGTTGCCAGGATGTGCGTTATTTACTGACAAAACTTGACCGTGTATTGTTCTGGACACGCGGTCAATCAGTTTTTACAGTTATCCACTATTATATTATTATATAATATATATTTTAAAGATATATATAAATAACATACTGTACAGGTATATAGATATTGCGCTGATGACAAATTTGCGAGCGGCGGTGGACGTGTTCACGATTGCTGAGGGCGGCGCCAGCGACACAATGAAAAACGACTTCGGTTGCCTCTGTGTTATAAGTACTTCATATGCCACGATTTGCCGGCAGATCGTGTTGCGTGTAAAGATAATAAATATTATACCGAGTGCGATTTTATCCATTTGTCGTGTTGGTCGCTTGTAAATTTCATCCACGTACCTGCAGTCGCCCCGGTTATTTATATAAAAATATGTATAAAAAATATATATATATATATTTATAGTATAATTCCATGTATAGATAGGTCGAATGTATGTAGATATTCCGAAGTGACACCTCCACCGGATCGCTTTGACTTGGGAGTTATAGATGTTTTTCATTTATCTTCATCCCGTCGTATACATATAAGTATAATACCTATCTACCTACTTGGACTCATAAGTCGGAACTCGGATCGTTGAGGTATTTCTATTTAGACTAACAGAGCATCTGTTTACTTGCGTTGTCAATTCACGCTAAAGTCCTAATATCTGTTTGAAAAAAAAAATCGTTAAAAATACTGTACAAGCGCTGATTTTTTATGAGACTAACGCCAACACGCATTAAAAAAATGTATCTATTTGTATACGAGTACATGTGAGTTACACTGTACATATAATTTCATATCATATCACTTACCCATTTAAGTACATAACAATAGGTATATGAGTTTCTGTTATTTTGATTTTTCATTGCTCTGGCCTAACACCGTCCCTGTTATTATTTGTGCAAATAAAACGTGGGAAAAAAGGCAAGTATTCAAATCTAAATAATTCAGGACAAAAAATCTGAATTACAAATGAGACGCGAACCTGTCGTTTGCCATGGAAAAACATGTAATAATTTTAAATAACGCCACTCCTCTTGTACGGTAACAGTGTACAGATAACATAGTTTTTACACTTAAAATGACAAAAATGTTTGAAATTCAAACGTTTTAAGATTAATACGGTTATTGCAATTTTAAATAGGCAACTATCGAATGGATGGTAAGACAGATTGAAAACAATGAATTGTACACAACTTTACTGCTGTAGGCGATATTTGATGCACATCAGGATATGGAATAAACAACGTATTGTAACGAAGTCCCACATTGTCATATACTATTATCATATGCAAATTGAACCATTCCAATTAATTATTGCAATCCACTTGGCAGCGTTTCAACAATGACAATTTTATACAAACGTTATTCATTAACAAATGTTACAAGACGTAGTTGATGACATATTAAAATTACTAATTGTAGACGGCGTTTCAATCTATTAACATTTTTATTTTATTTTCAATTACATAATATAAAAAAAAAATTTGTTTTGTATACTTATTTATTTCATTACTACATGCACTATGCGGACATACCTACACAAAAATGCATGTCGCGGTAAACCGATTGCTGCAATCTTCTATACAAGTCCAGTTTTAATTGTTTATCATGTTTATTGTAATGGTAATTGCTTAATGCCGCGTTATAACATAATAACTTATAATGGTCCTTGCAGAGTACCTATAGTTATTTGTTTTGTTTGTCGACAATTTAAAGTTCAAGACTCAGATTGCCGTGTCCGCCTAACGAGTATAAAACTATAGTGATAGTCCATAGAGCACAACATACCTGCCTGCCTACACTGCATTCAGTAAATTAACGACTGATGAGTGATGAGCGTAATACAATAAAATGTAATGTATAACAAATGTGGTAACTGGTCGGTCGGTATAATAATTAGTTTCTTTTCATGTATAAGTAACCGCCGCATTATCTCATACCTTTCATAGAACTTTACAAGATCCAAATGATGTACATACAAACCCGTGCTACTAAAGAACGAAGACCAAACGAAATATATTTAATGTATACATTATATAACTCGAAAAGTAAACGATCCCACTCCTTCTGGAGAAAAATAATGATAATGATGTTTTTTTGGTGATTTATTGCAGATCGGTAAGATATGAGATGATATAGGTAGGTATTTAGATTTGAAGATTCTATAACCAAAATAATTTGAGACTATTAAGACTATTTTCGGAAAGTGGTGTTCAGACAACTTGTTGTATGCTGTACATATTTAAATTGGACGCGAGTAAAAATATAAAATCAATTTTACCCTTGGCTTAAAATAACCTTTAATTATCCCATATGAGCAAAAGGTTACGTCCTACTGTATAGTAACTAGTAAGTGCATTATTCGTTAATGTACGATTAAGAATGTTGCAATTCAACATTTGGTGTTCTAAAATCTAAATACTATGAATTGTAAAAGTTCAAAGTTATAATTTTCTACTTGATTAAGCGTTATAATTATTATTTTTTCGCATCTCTGAAGTCTGCCAAATGTTAGTATTTGCAACATTCGAAAATGCGCGATTGGATCATAAGCAAAAGTGTATAGCAAAAAACCATGCTAGAGACTGTTATTCAGTTGTGCGTAGCCGAAAAATAACGAAATGGTAATTATGATAATAGTCTGTTGTCCGGTTTCGCCTAACGGGTCTGTCCATTATCGGGTTAGCGAACCGATCCAAAGAATTAAACATATATCGCGGTCAAGTAATGCAATTCTTTAGAATTTTTTGATTTTTAGTTTTAAATATATTTACGTTCGCCATAATATAGTTTTTCATGAGTTTTGAAAAAAAAAAAATAACCCACGATAAATAAAAAGTATACATATCTAATGAGCGGTTGTAGATTTTAAGTTTCTTTTTAAGAATTTGGAATTAATTGTTGAATATAATAAGTGTGTGTTTATACTCTTTGTAGAATATTATAATAATTATTAAATGTTTGAAATTTAAGACCCGGACGTGAAAATATAAAATAATAAATTATTGAAAAATATTTTATTTACTTTTAAAAATGATAGAAATCATAAATCTGCGCACACATTATCCGATTAGCATAATGCTTGCAAGTGTTTTCACGCAATATCGAATTAGACCGTAAGAAACAATATTAAATCATTTTTTTTTTATCACAAGGCAGTAGTCCAAAGGTCAGTAATTGACCTTTGAGTTAAAGTGTTATGTTATTGAATTATTGCGGACTCGTAAAAATTAATATGTTTATTTAGAAAGCGTCCGAAATACGTTATGAGCCCCCGATAATATTTCATAATTGTTATCTATTTAATTTTTAACATACCTTAATAAGTAATTCAATGTTTGCACAATTACATAAGCAACAATTACAAGCAATTCAAGCTATTAATTTTTGTTTTCGTCTTACACTGTGTTGGTGATATTAAATAAGTAGGTATATAGAATAGTTTATTTTTAATAGGCACAAACAACAGCTGCTTACTCTAAAATGTAGTATAATTGGAGCTGAGTAAATTGTATTTGAGTATTGTGTTTATTTATTTACAAGTTACGTATAGGCAAAAGTGAAGTGATAATGTTACCAAGTTGTTTATTTTTGTAACTTCTCAACATTTTAACTACTCTAATACTAAGATTAACGGCGATCTAAACGGTCATTAAAACCAAAAACTGTGTACTGACCCTAAAAATTATTTTACAAATTTTTAACTATAAGGATTACACCTACATGTTTAAGTCACTTTGTAACTTGCTGCTTATAGCTTTGTGTATAGTTCATAATAAGCAAACGCCAGTCATCATCGTAGATGCTCTAATTACTATTATGTTTATATAGAACAAATACACGTTTTACGCTGACTCATCAATTTTAATATTTTTATCTCGAGTTTCATTAGTTTTAGTACATAATTCAAACACAAATATGCGAAACACAATAATGTTGCTATATTATATAATGTTAATTAGAAATAATAGAATTGTGAAATAGCTTTTGTATTATACCCAACCCTACTGGATTTTATAACTTACGAAAATTTATCGATTATAAAAATAGGACAAAAACAGTTCTATTTTGTACAATAGATCTTGTATTTCAGTATATTATTACTTTTTTTTAAATAACGAAACAATATTTTTAAAAAAAACTAGCTATTATAATATTACTTTTGGGTTCGTCTTTATACTAAGTTGGTTGTTATTACTGTTTTACTATGTGTTGTATCTGTTTACTTGATATGGGACAATTAAGCCGAAACTCAGCTCATTTACTCAAACAAATACTTTTTTAAAATTAAAACAGGTCACCAAACAATTATTGTTCGGTAAGGATTCTTTGATAACTAGTGTAAATACTTAACCCTCCTACCTACCCCCTTGGTAATAGTTTACCAAGTCGTCTTAAAACTGGTTCAAATTGATTTGAAATTATGTAATGTTTTATGCAGAAAAAAATCAGATAACTTGTGCTTAAGGTAATTTAGCAAAAAGGCCTTGAAATTTTGTGTACTGTGACTTATATGCATTTTTAGTGTTACGCATTCAAAGTTATTATATAACGAATAATGTGTGCAGTAAAAGTAAAAGTTTTTTTAACACTACTCACAAATTCACACGAAAGCTACCGTTTTATCACTTTTCATAATTTTACCAGATTTTATCACTTCCAAATTTATGGTACGACCAAATCTCCAACTGAGCGCATTTTTCACTGTAGCCTGTCCTGACTTTTCAAATAATAGTAGTATTATATTGTTCAGATAAATACACTACACGAATAACAAAATTATTTAGAATTGTTTTTCAACTTAACATGGCACGGCGCGTTTGTTTACTTTAAAAGGAAATGCGTTTGTCGTGTTTACTATAACTATTATTTTTTTAAAGTAAAATAACTGCTTAATATATTGCTAGTATAGAAATAAATTATTTTCAGTTCAACAATACAACACAGATTGATATTGTGGAAAAATGCACACGAAATTAACATAGAACTGTATATTTTCGATTACATTACAACTTAGTGTGCGAGTGTATTTATAATAATATACGGAATGCAAACCTATCCAGTCTCTTCTATAAATACAAATCAAGTAATGCCCACACCGATCTGTTTTCGGGTGGGACTTAATTTCCACATGACCATCATTTCCAAAATGCATTACACGCGCAGGTATG